CTAGTTATCCAGCCTATCGAGAGTGTGTGACTTGAAGAGCGCCACTGGCTTGGCATCCCTTGTTTTGAAAGTTCTAGTTATCCAGCCTATCGTATTACTTGTAATTGTCATAATGATATTGTTGTGCTCCATGAATGCGAGATCCTCTGACATTATCACTCACAGGTCTCTCACATTAGACTTGCACTTAACTGAGTGATTTAGGTTTCTCATGTTTTTCAATCTTGTTTTATTTCCTCAGTCTTTTCGTAATGTAGTAATTGAAATTTGTACCCACTGATCATACTGTTATCAGTGGACCACTGGAAGACTTGGGTGATATCAACGTGGAGGCTGTGTGTGTCTTCAACAGATGGCTCTCTCATGCAGCGTCCAGTATCGTCTGGAAAGGATGATAGTGGTATGGTTTATGTTACTGCCAATGTGAGATGAAGGAATGTAAAACCGAAGTGCGGTGAGTAATGAGCTTTGGAGAACAGAACACTTCACTGTACAGGCCCCTTATTTTACTCTTATTACTCTTTGAGTTCTGTTTTAACTCTCCATCTGCCCACTTCCCCAGCTATTCCTTTAATACGCATTTTTTTCCAATGGTTTGGAACGATATCGTTCCAGACCATGGAGCTGAACTCTTCTCCAGGCCGAGGGACTGACCATCTCAGAAACTTTTTCTTCAAGGTTGAACTGATTGCATCTTTATTTCATTACTACTGCTGCCTTTGTATTTGAAGATACCCAACTGTTGCGCATGTGTCTTCATCTCCTTCAGACTGGTCTTGGAGTCCTATAAGGCTCGGCTAGACCGACAATGAAGGAGTGGACGCATAATTCCTCTCTCTTCAACCAGAGGACCACTGAGGTAAGCGTCAGACAATTGATTGTAATTTCATTTGCATTTTATTATCGGGCTGTGTAAAGCTGGATATTTTATTATTGGGTGCAAAAATAATAAAAAAAATAGGGCTGAAGATTTTATTGAAGGGTTAAAAGAGCTGGCAGATTTTTAAGGTTTTACGATTATTTTTAATAAGGCAAAATTAAATACATAGCAGTTACCTGGAGGAGGTTACCTGGAGGTTATTCCGGGGATCAACGCCCCCGCGGCCCGGTCCATGACCAGGCCTCCCGATGGATCAGGGCCTGATCAACTAGGCTGTTACTGCTGGCCGCACGCAGTCCGACGTACGAGCCACAGCCCGGCTGATCCGGCACTGACTTTAGGTATCTGTCCAGCTCTCTCTTGAAGGCAGCCAGGGGTTTATTGGCAATTCCCCTAATGCTTGATGGGAGGCTGTTGAACAGTTTTGGGCCCCGGACACTTATGGTGTTTTCTCTTAGTGTACCAATGCGCCCCTACTTTTTATTGGGGGCATTTTGCATCGCCTGCCCAGTCTTTTACTTTCGTAGGGAGTGATTTCTGTGTGCAGATTTGGGACCATTCCTTCCAAGATTTTCCAAGTGTAGATTATGATATATCTCTCCCTCTGCGTTCCAACGAGTACAAGTCAAGTGCTTCCAAGCGTTCCCAGTAGTTAAGGTGCTTGACAGAACTTATACGTGCAGTAAAGGATCTCTGTACACTCTCTAGATCTGCGATTTCACCTGCTTTGAATGGAGATGTTAATGTACAGCAGTATTCCAGCCTAGAGAGAACAAGTGATTTGAAAAGGATCATCATGGGCTTGGCATCTCTCGTTTCGAAAGTTCTCATTATCCATCCTATCATTTTCTTTGCACGTGCGATCGTGGCACTGTTGTGATCCTTGAAAGTGAGATCCTCAGACATTACTACTCCCAGGCCCCTTACATTATTTTTCCTCTCTATTGTATGGCCGGAGTCAGTAGTATACTCTGTTCTAGTTATTATCTCCTCCAGTTTTCCATAACGGAGTAGTTGGAATTTGTCCTCATTGAACATCATATTGTTTACCGTTGCCCACTGGAAAACTTTGTTTATATCTTCTTGGAGGTTAACCGCGTCCTCAGCAGATGACAGCCTCATGCTGATCCTAGTATCATCCGCAAAGGATGATACGGTGCTGTGGTGTATATCTCTGTTTATGTCTGATATGAGGATAAGGAATAAGATGTGTTGCTAAACTGTTCTATGTGATAGTTACATACTGGAACACCCTCAGTGTGTTGCTACACTATGTGATAGTTACATACTGGAACACCTTGGATTTGTAACTATGGGGGTGTTATTGGAAAAGGTGATGCTCACTATGTGATAGTACATAGGGAAAAACCCCAGTGTGTTGTTTACTTTGATAGTTACAGTGGGAGCAGTGGGTCATATTGTAGGTAGTTGCTTATGAAAATGGTGCCAAGGGTGTCTGGGGGCTGGGTTGTAGATGGACTGTGTGGGAGTTAAAGCCTTGTTGACAGGCTCTAAATGGGGCTGGTTTTGGCGGGGTTTGGGATTTGGATGGTGGTTCCTGGAAAGGGGGGGGGAAAGGTGCGGGAAAGGGAGTGTTTGGGAGTGGGAGAAGGGGGAAGTGAGGATGGGGAGGAGGTGGAAGGAGGGAGGAGGTGGGGAGTGGAATGGAGGAAGGGGGGGTGGGGGTGGTGGGAAAGGTGGATGGAGGTAGGAGGATGAAGGTGGATGGAGGAGGAGTGAAGTTGTTGGGTAGGAAGGATGGGGGAAAGGGGTGGAGGATGGTGGAATGGTACCTGGAGGTTTTCGGGATCACGGGGGTAGGGAACAGGCCTCCGTGGATTGGGCTGACATAGGTGTTACTGTGGGCCGCAGCCGAACGTAGAGAAGCCGGTGATCAGGAGGATGTAGAAGGGGATGGGAAGGGGGTGGAGAAGGTGGGTGGAGTAAAATTGGGAAGGAAGGGGATGGAGGATGAATGGGGGAAAGGGGGGGGATGGAGAAGGGGGTTTGGGGGAAGGGGAGGAGGAAAGGGTGAGAGGTGGAGGGAAAAAGGGAAGGGGGGAAAATGGAGGAAGGTGGGATGAGGAAGGGGGGATGGAGGAAGGGAGGGTGGAAGGTGGGATGGAGGAAGGTGGGAGGGGAGAAGGGTTTAGTTTTGGATGGAGGAAAGGGTGATGGAGGAAGGGGGGGGAGGTGAGGGGGATGGAGGAAGGGGGGTGGAAAAGGTGAGAGGAGAAGGTGGGATGGGGAGGGAATTGGAGGGGGATGGAAAGGTGGTGGGGGGAAGGTGGAGAGGAAGGTGGGGTAGATGAATGGGTTGGTGGGAGAGAAGGTGGAGGGAGAAGGTGAGATGGAGGAAGGGGGAGGGAGGAAGGTGGGATGGAGGAAGGTGGGATGGGGGAAGTGGGATGGAGGAAGGATGGGAGGGGAAGGGGGTGGGGGAAGGTGGGATGGAGGAAGGAGGATGGGGAAGGTGGGATGGAGGGGAGGTGGAAGGGGAGGAGAGGGGGATGAGGAGGGGGGATGGAGGAAGGTGATGGAGGAAGGGGGATGGAGAAGGTGGGATGGAGGAGGTGGATGGAGGAAGGTGGGATGGAGGAAGGGGTTGGGAAAGGTGAGATGGAGAAGGTGAGATGGAGGAAGTGGGAAGGAGGTGGATGGAGAAGGAGGGAGGAAGGGAGGATGAAGGAAGGGGGTGGGGGAAAGTGAGATGGGGGGAAAGGGTGTGATGGAGGAGGTGGGATGGAGGAAGGGATTGGAGGAAGGTGGATGGAAGGGGTGATGGGAAGGGGATGGGGAAGGTGGGAGGAGGAAAGGGGGATGGAGGAAGGGGGTGGAGGGTGGGTGGATGTGGTGAGAGGGGGGAAAGGTGGGATGGGAAGGTGGATGGGGGTAGGGGATGGAGTGGGGATGGAGGAAGGGGGGATGGAAAGGGGGGATGGGTGAAGGTGGTTGGGGAAGGTGGGTGGGGGTGGGGAGAAGGTGGGAGGTGGATGGGAGGGATGGAGGAAGGTGAGGAGGTGTGATGGTGGATGGGGATTGGGTGGGAGGGGTTTGGGGAGGGGAGGTGGAGGGAGGGTTTGGGGGAGGAGGAGGGGTGGAGGTGGGGGGAAGGTGGATGAGAGGTGGTGGGGGGGTTGGAGGAATTTTGGGGAAGGGGGGATGGGGGAAAGGGGGGGAGGTGGTGGAGGGTAGGGGGGATGGGGAGGTTTGGGGGGAGGAGGGGTGAGGAGTGTGGGATGGTGGAGGGGGTGGGAGGGGGGGAAGGTTGGTTGGTGGAGGGTGGTGGGTGGTGGGGGTGGAATGGGGAAGGGGGGTTGTGGGATGGAGGAAGGTTGGGGGGGAAGGTGGTGGAAGGGGAGGGTGAGTGAGGGGGTGGAAGGGGGGTGGGTGGGAGTGAGAGGTTGGAAGAGGAGGTGAGTGTGGAAGGTGGATGGGGGGAAGGGGGGGAAGGGGGTGAGAGGTGGGAGGGGGGGGTGGAGGGGTGGGTGGGGGGGGGTGGGGTTTGGGGGGGGGATGAGGGGTTGAGTGGAGGGTGGATGGAGGAGGTGGGTTGGGTGGATGGGGAAAGGTGGAGTGGGGAGGTGGAGGGAGGAGTTGGGTTGGTGGGGTTGAGGAGGGGTGGTGGGAAGTTTTGGGGGGGATGGTGGGAAGGGGGGGTTTTGGGATTGGGAAAGTGTGTGGGGTGGTTGGGGGAGAGATGGGGGGTGGTTGGGAGGTGGGGAGGGGTGGGGAATGGGGGTTGTGGGTTTTAAATTTGATTATTTATGGGGGTGGATGGGGGGTGTATGGGGGTGGGTTGGGGTTGGTGGGGTGGTTGTGGTGGAAATATGGGAGGTGGGGTTGGGTGGTTGGGATGTGGGTAGGTGGTGGGGGGTGGATGGGGAGGTGGGAATGGGGAGGTTTTGGGATGGGAGGGTGAGGGGTGAGGTTTGGGGTTGGGAAGGGGGGTGGGGGGTGGTTGAGGATTGGGGTAGGGAAGGAGGTTTGGATGGTATGGAGGGTGGGGAGGGGATAGGTTATTGTTGTGAGTGGTGTTTTGGGAAGGGGGATGGGGATGGAGGGGAGGAGCTTACAGAATACAAGGTAGGGGTCAGTGCATTTTTAGTACGTTTGAAAGTGGTGGAGTGAGGGTGTGCCGCTGCTCTCCCCACCTCACCTTCACACTGACCCACCCACTAACCCACCTCACTTTTATTCTACACCCGAGTGAACACAGTTTTTTAACACACCTCCAGTGCTCCTCCGAGGCTTTTAAAAACCTCCCTCAGTGCTCGATTTGTGTTTTTTTTTAATGTACGGAGCAAGAGAGGAATTGAACAACGCGATAACGCAGGTAAGAAGACAAATACCGGTTTTTTTGGGGAGGTCTGTGAGGTAATTGCCAAATTGTCTGTAAGATTTTGGGTAAACATTAATTTTTTTGCTGTTGATTCATGATCACTACAAACATTATCTCGTTAAGAACGTTACCTACACATTAAGAACGTTACCTGCACATTAAGAACGTTACCTGCACATTAAGAACGTTACCTGCACATTAAAAACGTTACCTGCACATTAAGAACGTTACCTGCACATTAAGAACGTACCTGCACATTAAGAACGTTACCTGCACATTAAGAACTTACCTGCACATTAAAGAACGTTACCTGCACATTAAGAACGTTACCTGCACATTAAGAACGTTACCTGCACATTAAGAACGTTACCTGCACATTAAGAACGTTACCTGCACATTAAGAACGTTACCTGCACATTAAGAACGTTACCTGCACATTCTTAACATTATCTACACATTCTTGTTAACGTTACCTACATATTTTTATCTTGTTAACTTTACCTACACATTCTTAAACGTTACTTATTCTTAGCATTAAGAACTTTACCTACACATTCTTTTTAACGTTACCTACACATTCTTACCTTTAAGAACATTGTCTACACATTCGTTAAGAACGAATGTGTAGGTGATTTTCTAATGATATCTCGTTAAGAACGTTTTTATCGTTATCATTAACACATATCACGTTAAGAACATTATCTACACATTATCACGTTAAGAACATTACTAACACATTCTTATCTCTTTAAGAACATCCTAATTCTTTCCTTCTTACTATACAAATTTTTTAAATATAACTGACCACATCGACTCAAGGTTGAGGGACTGATTACCTCATTCTCCTCCTGTTTTCAAGTTTCTCCTTTGTATGGACTGATGAAGCCACTGTGTGGGCGAAACGTTTCCTCAATAAAGATACCCAAGAGTTGCACATGTGTCTAATTCAACATGTCGGTTCTCTGAACCATTCATCTGCAATAATGTTCATAAAATCAATGTGTATTTTTTTGTTTCATACGTTAAATTATTAAAAATATTTAGAATTTAAATAATTATGTACAGGGAAATAAAGTGGTGTGCTATAAATCAAGGTGGTCTCGTATAGGTCGCTGTTATATACGAGTGATCACTGTATGGGTTACTGTTATGTTGAGGTGGTCGCTTGCACACGTCGCTGTTATGAGTGTTCACTGTATGGGTCACTGTTGCGTAGTGGTCGCTTGCACAGGTTATTATTATACAGGAGTGGTCTGTTGTGCTGGTATCTTGTGCAGGTCACTGCTATATAAAAGTGGTCTCTTATGCTGGTCACTGCTATATAGAAGTGATCTCTTGTGCAGAAGTAATTAATCTCTTTTGTAGAGCACTGTTATACAGAAGTGGACGCTTGTGTAGGTCCCTGTTATACAGTAGTAGTACTTTGTATAATAATAATAATAATAATAATAATAATAATAATAATATCTTTATTATTATTAATGTACAAGGTATACAGACCATAGTTGACATCAGTGATATACTACTATATAAAAAGTCGCTTGTTATGCAGAGCATTTCCGGCAAATTAGGTCAGTTTTTTCCCAGGATGCGACCCACACCAGTCCACTAACACCCAGGTACCCATTTTACTGATGGGTGAACAGGGACAGCAAGTGTCTTATGAAAACACGTCCTAATGTTTTCCAGCCGCACCAGAGATTCGAACTCCGGACCTCAGTGTGTGAGGGGAGTGCGCTAGAGACCGAGCTATAGGACACCTAACTAGAAGTGGTCGCTTAGCTGGTGGCTGTTATTAAAGGGTGAAGTCTGGTACCGTTTACTATATGGAAGTAGTGAAGTAATCGTTATATGTAGGTTGTGAAAGAGTCATTATACGAAGGTAGTGAAGTGGTCGTTGTATGGACGTTTTGAAGTGCTCGTTATGTGGAGGCTGTGAAGTTAGTGTTATATGAGGTGTTTGCTTGTAGATGGTCTTAAGACGACTAAGTGATCTTTACACAAGGTGGCCGTTCGTACAGGGTAAGGTTAAATGTAGCAGCTTAATGAAGTGGTCTTTACATAAAGTTGGTCGCAACTAAACTGGGCGTTAATTAAAAGTGGTCGCTAATTAAGTGAAATGTTACATTAATGTGATCACTAGTAAGGTAACTGTTACATTAATGTGATCACTAGTAAGGTAACTGTTACATTAATGTGATCACTAGTAAGGTAACTGTTACATTAATATGATCACTAGTAAGATAACTGTTACATTAATATGATCACTAGTAAGGTAACTGTTACATTAATGTGATCACTAGTAAGGTAACTGTTACATTAATGTGATCACTAGTAAGGTAACTGTTACATTAATGTGATCACTAGTAAGGTAACTGTTACATTAATGTGATCACTAGTAAGGTAACTGTTACATTAATATGATCACTAGTAAGGTAACTGTTACATTAATGTGATCACTAGTAAGGTAACTGTTACATTGTGATCACTAGTAAGGTAACTGTTACATTAATGTGATCACTAGTAAGGTAACTGTTACATTAATGTGATAACTAGTAAGATAACTGTTACATTAATATGATCACTAGTAAGGTAACTGTTACATTAATGTGATCACTAGTAATGTAACTGTTACATTAATGTGATCACTAGTAAGGTAACTGTTACATTAATGTGATCACTAGTAAGGTAACTGTTACACTGATGTGGTCACTCCAGTAAGGTGAACGTTTAATAAAGGTAGGTGGCTGTACAGGCAGACGCTATATAAACGTCAATGGCTTTAAGACTAACGGTAAACTGCGATGGCTGACGGCGAGAGATGACTGATAGTTCAGGTTTTAGCTGAAAGCTGACAATTTTTTTTTTCCACTGATGCAATATTTGTATTTTTTTTTTTACAATAATTTAAGATAATAAATTTTACTCAAAGGCAACAAAATTCTTCTCCTTTTGAGATTCTTATTTTATATGGATTTTTTTTTTTTTTTTTTGGGGGGGGGGAGTGATTTTGACGTTCTTTCGTAGGAGAACAGTGGCCATAAGGTCACAGGTTTAAGATAACAGGTCTCAGGTTGGTTGGTTAAAGGTGTTTCAAGCCTATCGACTACACGAGGGTCAGCTGCATGTCACCTGTTCACCACTAATCATAATTACTTCAATCCCTAAAACAGGGATTTAAACGCTCAGCGTATATACACAGAGACGTATATACCTCTCAGTGTATATATCCCTGTGTTGGTTAATGGGGTTTAGAGGTTATCGATTACACTGGGGGTCATTAAAGCTACAGCAGAAACCTCAAACCAGTGCCTTGAAAGGATCAACTTCCTGCCAGCTGAAGTATGTTCAAGGTACATTACCCTAAGAGAGAAGAAGTAAACTCGAAAGAGAAAGACGCTTCTTCTACAGAAGACGAAGAATCGCCAAGCTCTTCAAGAACGCTAGATTATCTGACACACGGAAGGAAGTGCTGACCAGGGAAGTGGAAAATATCGAACTAAGTTAAAGGACTCATTCAGGACCCAGAAGAGACAGGAGGAGCTAAAAGTGATTAGTGAAATTGAAAGAAATTCGATATATTTATTTTCATATATGCCAAAAACAAGGCAAATACTACATCTAGTATCGGGCCCTTGCTCAGACAAGATGGCACTTACACATGACAACAAAAAATGAGTTAGTTACTGAAATCCCAATACGACTCTGTGTTTAGCGAGCCACTAATGAGTCTAAAGATCGACAATCCAAATTATTTTTTTCATGAATGAGCCTCAAAACTCCATCAATGTATGCCAGATTTCCGACATTACCCTAACTCCGATAGACTTTGAAAAAACCACTGACAACATGCCCATGCACTCAGCTCCAGGCCCAGACTAGTGGATCTCTGTGTTCATTAAGAATTGCAAGAAACCCCTCTCATGTGCCCTAAGTATACTATGGAGAAGGAACTTAGACATGGGTGAAATTCCAGTCACTAAAAACAACGGATATAGCCCCACTCCATAAAGGTGGCAGCAAAGCATTAGATAAGAACTATAGACCAATAGCTCTAACGTCCCACATCATAAAATTCTTTGAAAGAGTGCTAAGAAACACTATTGCAAACCACTTGGATTCCCAAAAACTGCACAATCCAGTTGCAAGAGGCAGGTCGCTCCTGCCTCTCGCAACTACTGGATCACTATGATATGGTCTTGGATGCACTGGAAGAAAAACAGAATGCAGATGTAATATACACAGACTTTGCAAAAGCATTTGACAAGTGCGATCATGGCGTAATAGTGCACAAAATACGTGCTAAAGGAGATGGGGAGATGAATCTTTAACTTTCTAACCAATCGAACACAAAGAGTAGTGGTCAACAGAGTTAAATCGGAAGCTGCCATAGTGAAGAGCTCTGTTCCACAAGGCACAGTACTCGCCTCTATCCTGTCCCTCATCCTTATATCAGACAGATGTAATCCACAGCACCGTGTTATCCTTTGCAGACAATACTAGGATCTGCATGAGGCTGTCATCTATTGAGGACACGGTTAACCTCCAAGAAGATATAAACTAAGTTTTCCAATGGACAACGGAAAGTAACGTGATGTTCAATGAAGACAAATTCCAACTACTCTGTTATGGAAAACTGCATGAGATAATAATTAGAACTGAGTGTACTACAAACTCTGCTCATGTAACAGAGCGAAAAAATAATGTGGGGGATCTGGGAGTAGAAATGTCTGAGGATCTCACTTTCAAGGATCACAGCAGTGCCACGATCACAACTGCAAAGAAAATGATAATGAAAACGGTTAAAACAAGAGATTCCAAGCCAATGATGGTCCATTTCAAATCACTTGTTCTCTCTAGGCTGGAATACTGCTGTACATTAACATCTCCGTTCAAAGCAGGTGAAATTGCAGTTCTATAGAGTGTACAGAGAACCTTTACTGCACATATAAGTTCCATCAAACACCTCGGCTACTGGGAACGCTTGGAAGCAC